GACGTTCTGCCAGATCCTCCGCTCTCATTCACCTCGTGTGACAGGACTATTCTGCCGACGCAGGCACGTGAGACCCCACTTCCTCCGCAGAAATAAAATATCCAGGCATCACCAAGAAAAAAGAGCACGTTCCCCAGTCCCCCTCATGACTAGGTTTGCCCTGTGACTTAGTTCTGGCCGAGACATAAGGTGAAGTGTAGCTCCTGGAAACTTTCCTCCCAGGGGAGCCAACCCACTGTCTCTGCTTCTTGGTTCATTCCTACCTCCTTCCTGCGACCTGGGCCACGGAGAAGCACCACGGCCTCAGGGGAGGGGGAACAGGGCGCTGCAGGAAGGCGGGGCCCCCAGTGGACCCTGTGGAACAGAACCACACCTGCCTCTAAGTTCTTACCTCGTGACTTTTACATAAGAGAGGAATAAAAATCTCCCTCGATTAAGTTACCATTGTTTAGGGAGTTTGTTATCCGTTTCTGAATCAATCCAAAGGATGCGCTTAGAATGAATTAACATAACACTGCTCTATAATTATAGTCTAATCTGTATTTGGACAGATCTGTACTAGCATCTATTAAGACTTTGTGTGGAAGTCACATAGAACTGGCAGGAAAAGCTATTTTATTTTATCTGATTTTTCCATCTACTAAATTAAAAATTATAAAAAAAATTTGGTGGTGGGGCTCAGGATGCTGTGGGAAAGTTACACCTATATGGAGAAGAGTTCTAGACTTGGGCTTCAGGCTTGACTCTGTCCCATACCAGCTGCATGCTCTTAGGGAAGTCTCTTAATCTTCCGGAGCCTCAACTTCTATAAAATAAAGACATCGACATCTACTTCACAGAGTTGTTTGAATGAATAAATAAAACATACCATGTGACAGAGCCTGCTAAGCACTAAGCACTATGTAAATGTAAGGGATTATGATCATAAATTGGAAGACACATTTTAAGTATAACCCTGAAAGGAAAAATCATCTCACAAATACACTTACAGTGGTACGTGTGTACGTGTGTAGGTTGCTAGTTATAAACAAGAATAAATTGAAAAGTTCATTCTATTTAGTAACTTAACACAATAAGTAACAATTCAGGGCTTACTGTTGTAAGTTTAGATTCCTAGCATAGCTTGAGAGCAAAGCTCTCAGAATTCTTTAGTCTGTCTTTATTTCATGCTATAGAAAACTTTCAGGTATTTTTGGCTTTGTTTCAATAAGCTGAAACTTTGCCAGAATGATTGCTTTGCTAAACACTCCTTTCTGTTTTAAAACCTATATTTCATGTTAAGTGCTTTTAAAGTGTTCAGCAGAGATCAAAACGCAAAGTCCATCCTATATGTGAAGCAGAAAGATCAAAACTGGCTGGTCTGGATTGGGGTGGGGGGAGCCAGGGCAGAGGCAGTGACAAGTTCAAGAGAGGAGAGGGTGACAGAAGCCACGCACAGAAGCGAAGGCAGCTCTGTCTATCAGCCCTGGGGGCTGGGGGCAGCGGCAGGTAAATAAGGCCAGGAGGACAGCAGCTGGGGTGACTGAGAATTTCCAAGATGAGAGGCAATTTCACACCAAATTCAGACAGCCTCAGCTTTGAGTAGCCCCAAGGAAGGAATCTGGTGGGAGGTGTGCACTGGAGTTAGTGCTGGTCCAACTCGTGTCTGCACGGACATCTCAACGGGGCTTCCGGTCTGGCTGGGAGGGCATCCCGGCTAACGAAGGAGTGCGGCCTGAGGCACCATTTAAACTTAGCCGTTTATTGCGTGTTTTTCTGCCTGGTGGGGTTCATCTAATTCATATGTTTTAAAGCTCAGCTTTGCTGGACAGAGGACCATAATATCCACCTGTGGCAGCCAACAACTTGACGCATAAGGTCTTGACAGGAAATAATCTGCTTCCAGGAAGAACATCTTATAAATCGATTTTGGTACCTACTGATGTAAGAGTGAACCTTCAATTATCCAACGTTTGATTTCCAAGTTTGGAGAGTCCAGTCCATCCAAAACTCAAGCCCTGTATTTTAAGAACTGTATTTTATGGGGGATTCTAAGATGTGCTTAAAAATAAAATATTGAATACATTTCTAGCATCTTTGCTGCTCCTTCCCTGGATGTGGTGTTGGATTCTAGTTTCCTGGAGATCCAGAATGCCCTTCCATCCCCAACCAGTACACCTTGAGGAGGGCTCTTCCAAGGACAGACCCAATTCAGGCCAACTCCAAAGACAAGGCAAGAGCCATCATCCCTGTGGGTGACCTGAGAATGAGAAGCTTTCAAGAGGATGGCCAGACATCCCCGTCTCTACGGGAGCTGCGACGTAACCCAGAAGACAGCAACTTCAGCCACGCCACAGGGACTCTGCTCTTGGACCAAGAAGGCTCTGCCCCCAGCTACATCCTTGTGTGGTCTGTGAGCCGATGTGTGTCTTCTCTTAGGAGAGAGAGAGAGAGAGTGTATGTGTGCGTGTGTGTGTGTGTGTGTGAGAGAGAGGGTTTTAATTTCCTTTTTATAAGGCAACCCCAGCTACACTGAGATTAATATGTACCAGAGCTGAGAACCACCAGGAGAGCTGATTCTGAATAGATGTGAAAAATCTTTGTTTGAATTTATTCACATCCCATTCACACCATGGGATGGATACTTAGGAGCAAATATTGGTAGAATTCAGGGCAGTATTTTAATGGTTATGAAAAAGTTTAAGCAGCAATTTTGAGATATGGGGGACAAGCCAGTCCTGTTTTGGGATCTGTAATAAGTGTCCCGAAAGCATTCTGACCTATTGCCGCTTCTTCCTTTCTCGTGTGTCTGAATTCACAACCCCTAGAAATCCCATCTCCCCCCAGAGCCACCCCGAGGTCCTCTCCTCCAGGCGCCCCCTCGACTCAGCTGACAAGGGGGCCAAATAAGGGTGGGGCTGGCGGTAAGGAGACAGGTGGGACCCACTCTCAGTGTGATCGCTGGAAAGTCAGGTTAGTGAGCTTAGTTCCCTTTTGCCTTCAAGGCAAACACCCTGCAGGTCAAGACACCAGAATTTATGACTTCACAGGCAGCAGCGAGTCCCCACGCTCCAGTCTTTATCGCACAAGTGCTGTCTCTTCAGCGCTTCCGGTGCTTGTGCTAAAGTGTCCGCTGGGGCCCGAAGCCCAGATGCTAACGGCCAGGCCTGGTGCCCCCGAGGCCTCCCGCCCGCCCCCGCCCCACCCGCCGTGGCTTCTTCATCTGGCAGGTGAATTCTGGTTCTAGCCTTAGCACTCGTGCAGAAATCAAATATGGGCTTAAACACAAAACCCAGCATGCTCCTGCCACCCTCAGAAGCTCCAGGAAAGCACGGGAGAGGGGCCCTGGACGGGGGACACCCCACGAAGCCGGGCAGGACAACACCCCCGGATCCAAAGCTTGCCCGGGGGCGGGTGGCAGTGCAGACGGCTCTCTGGGGAAGAGCCCACCCTGTAATGGAGGGTTTCGTCTTCCGTCCTCAGGTTCAAGGCGCTACACACCTAATAGTTACAAGAGCCACTTGTACAGATTGCTTCATCACCACCCTCTTCTTTCATCGAATTTCCTTTTTATGAAGGAGATCTAGGGACAGAGACATGCGCCAGCTCGCCCTACCTGGCCCTCGGTTGTTTCCTCCAAAGCCCAGGCCCAGAACCGGTAAGCTTCAGGGCCACCTGAGAACTCAGGCGTGTCACCAAGACACTCGCGCTTGCGGCCCTGGGCGTCGCGGGAGCCCCCTCACAAACTGCCGTTTCCGTTCCTCAGGCCGCTCAGAAAGCCCACCTGTGGGCTCACCCACTGGTGCTCCGCATCAGGGAAGCCAGGTGTGGGCGCCCCGGCCTGGGCGTACACGGTCCTGCAGCTCTCATCACACACAGGGGAGGCTGGGGACGGGGAGCTCTTCCTGGCGGCTTTCCCACGGGGCCTGCCCTCCTTGGAGGGGAGGAGAGGCCACGGCTGACTCACCTCAATGACCAAAAGAGTCACAACGCTCATGATGAAGAAACAAAATAAAAATTTTTAAGGTTCGAATAAAATGAGGGTAAAAAGGGACGGGGGAAGCTGTGTTTGCAAATCACTGCCCAGTCCACTGCGCATCCCTGGGGCCCGTGTTCCCTGGGGAAGGCTGGCCTCCAGACTCCTGCCTATTTGCACGGCTTGCCTGGAAACAGATGCCACCGCCACCCACTGGGGCTGGCGGGGCTGCTCAAGTCCCTTTGCTCACAGTGGAGGCCGCACCTGCCCAGGTGGGCTGTCCCCAGGACCACACCGGATGGAAGGGGAACGCTCACTGCAAAGAGAACAGCAGGCCAAGGGGATGAGACCATGTTTGGCTCACCTTTGCTAGCGTGACCGACCCTCAAGAGAGAGAGGGGGTCGAGGAACTGAAATGTGGCAAATCCTCGGTCTGACCTTCGGCCGAGAGCGAAAGCCCACCACTGAACACCACCCTGGGGCCTGGGGGCGGCCTGTCATTTGCAAGGTCTCCTGCGGTTCAGCCTGAACTACACCATCCTATCAGCCAAAGAGGAGGCGCTCTGACACGAACCCCCGCATTTCTAACCCCCCCCAGATTCGTGTTCTGTACCTTGTTTGAGGTCACAGAGGACTGCATGGCAGGGCATACGCTGGCAGGAAGCATCTTACAGGCAGCGCCTCAGTTCCCTTCCGAGCTGAGCTGCTTGTCCCGGAGCTGCGCCCGCCGGGGGTGGGGTGTGCCTGGACGGAGGGGTCACTGCACAGCACGCCACTCACACAGATGGCGGGGCTGTCCCGGGAGGAGCGGAGCCGGGCCTGGCCGGCTCCGCTCTGAACAGATAGAAGCTTTATAACAACGGGGACGTCGAAATTACGGCTCCCTGCAAGGCTGCAAGACCCCACCGCGGTGCCGGGGAAGACACTCCCTGTGTCCGGCAGGTCTGCTCCGGCTTAAGACCCGAGACGTAACCCTTTTGTTACACACTCACAGGCAGCAGGAAAAGACATTCTTTACGGTCCTCATGTCTGACGCCCGACTTACCAACTTCATCCCTGATGTTTGCAAGTTCGATTGACAGCTCTTTCTCTTTCACAAGGGCACTTTCATTCTGCAAAAAACAAAACGGATACCGAGAGTCCCCCAGTTTTATGCTAGATGAGCATTTTCACATGTTTAATTAATGAATCATATTACGCAAATACTTGTAAGTCTAGCCCTTAAGGAGATAATTTTCTCATTATAGAAGCATATAAAAAACACTTCCAAAGCCAAGTCTGGCCCATTCAATTGCATCCCGTTCAGATCGCCAAGCCTGCCATTTAACATCCACACCACTCTTGCGTGGGCTTTTCTCTGCGTTGCACTCTTGTATACATCATCCTGCAGTCATTCTTTGTATGTCGATGTTCTACGCTTAATCCACTGTTATATATTATTATACATTAAGCAAAATATTAATGGAGGCACTGGGGATTGAACCCAGGACCTAGTGCATGCTAAGCATGTGCTCTACCATTGAGCTATTTCCTACTCCCCATTACTGTGCATTTTAAATTATCGTCACTATTACGAGACTTTTGACCGTTAAAATGTCCAGGCTATATTTCTCTGAAGGCCAAATGCTTATTTTACCAATTGTCTTGTCCCCTTAAACTTACCCTTCTGTCCACACACGCACGGTTAGCTACCCAATGAATAATACCTAAACAGAACACATAATGTGAACCATTCTCTTTGTAAGAAGACCGACATCAAAACATAAGGTTTCCAAGTTTTTTGTCCCATATCTGCATCAGTAGGAGGAGGAAAAGGAAAACTCACACTGGTGACTGACTGCGAAGGATGCCATCTGTAAGCACATGACTGCTTAGCTGTTTTCAAATCAAATACAAACCATGACACAAAATAGGGAAGCAGTTGAAGATATGAGTCACCACAAATATTTACATTTGTTATGATTTTATTACTACTAATAATAACCAGGAAAGATGTGTTATGTAAATTCTCTCCAAGTTAGAGATACCAAAAACACAGGCCTTCGAGGAAAGGCTCTCTCATTCTGGGGGATGTACTCCCAAAGCAAACATTTCCAATGAGGGGATTTGGGCTAAAATGTGTACCAAATATCTAGCACAAACGTCCAGAATGCTCTTTCTTTCTTAACCTCCTTTGACTTTGATCTCAGCACCCCCGAAACACCTGTGCCGAACGTGAACAGACAGACAGCTGTCACAATCTCGGTTCTGAGTCTGCTGTGTTTAGACCCCGGTGACACATGCGCTACGGTGGGTGGAGGGGAGGGAGGGTCTCAGGTTATCCAAAGGGCATTTGCTAAGCAATGTCAGAATTTCATGCAAAAATCAAACTTGATTTGCATAATAAGCTGAGAGTTATTTTAGTTACAGGCATCAACAATGATTAAGTCACGGTTGTCTTAAGACTAACGGAGCAATAACACACCCTCTGAGGGACAGGGGACCTGCATCTCACTCGTGAAGCTCCCTCCTTCCATCCCAGCCCACAGCATCCTTGCCTTCCCTGAATCTGAAGGCTGGGAATCACACCTGAGAGCAGACATTCCCCTAATCACAAATCGATGCTGCCTTGATGCCACGCCCACTGCCTGGGGTTGTCCTGAGGGTTAAGCAGTCAACCTACATGAAGCAGCTAGAACGTGCCTGGCACTTACAAGCTCCATACAAGTGCTAGTCATTATTACAACTCGTTGTCTCCTTTGATTTCCTTTGCAGCCCGATGTCATGCTGTCGATAACAGGTGCTCTTCTACCTTGAGTATCTGAATGTGTTTAGAACTGGCATTTGTCTTATTCTCTAGTATTGATTTAGTTGTTTGTTTAACAGCATCTTCCTGGCTCTGTCCTGATTTTACTCTACGTTCAGAGACTGGAGAACCCAGAACAGGGAAAATACCTAACCAGACGGATCCCGGGGACGAGGCACCTGCGCTCCCAGCCGTGTAATACCACCGCTGACTTGCTCCTGCGAGTTAAGAAAACTTGGTATTCCGGAGAGGGTAAATCCCAGTATTTACTCCCAAATAATCTCAAACTAGTGAAAAACCTAACTTGTTTCTACTATTAAGAATACTTTTGAACACTGATATCCTCAGTTCCAAAGCACAGCCAGAGAACTGAAACGCTGCACTTATCAGTCCAGAAACAGCATCCCAGGTATTCACTCCCGGGCTGCTGACTCTAGTTTAACCCAAAGCCAACGTCTCCCTCAGCTCCTGCAGCAGCCCCTGGGGTGATGCCCCTGGACATCACCCATGCCGTGCGGAGGGGTCCCACATCACAACCCCTCACACTCCGCTGTCCAGCCAGGGAAGAATCTGGCATTTGGAGAAGGAGTGTCTTGCAGGTCCAGTGAGGAGGAGCAGCCTCAGCTGGAGATAGTGCTGGTAACATTGAAGAGCTTCAAACTTGAGTCAGTTTGGTGAAAAGGTGCTGGTGGTGTCTGTGGCCAGGCCTGCCCCACCCATCTTGGCTTTAGGAGAAACGTAAGTGAGAGAATGAAAGAGAAGAAGCAAGAAAAGAAAGGGAGGGGGTGGGAAGGGAGAAGAGATAGCAGGGGAAATAGGAGGGAAACCAGGGCGATCTGAGGGCCTGCACCCTCTCCATTTGGGGAAGATCAGTGAAGACGCACCCCACCCTCACCCCTGACCTTCTGCCAGCACAGACTGCAAAACCAACTGGTCTGGAAGTCATCAAAAAGCTCACCAAGGGTCAGCCGCCAAAGACAGGCAACAGACCTGATGGCTAAAATGTCAAGAAAACTACTAACCTCGGGTAAGGTCTGCTGATGGCGATGGCAATACTAACACTGACCTTCACTGAACACCTTCTAGACAGGCACAGCGCTAGGTCAGCCCTGGTCCTTATTCACTCCTCCAAAAACTGTCTAGTGGACCCTGGGTTTTATTTTCCTTTCTGTAGGATGAAACTGGGGTTCTGTGATGAGGTAACACACCAAGTAACCCACAACAAGACAGGAAATGGCAAAGCAGGAGTTTGAACCCAGAGTCCACAGTCTTCATCAAACACTAACACATGGACATTCTCCCCTCCTACCCACGATTATGTCCACCCAACACCAAGACCAAACTGCACCGATCCTCAGACTGGATCTGAGCACTCATTACACGAAGTTTTTCACGTCTACCGGGCATTGAGGCAGAGCCAGCTCCCGATCCCTCTGTTTCACTGCGAACATCCCCTGGCTGCAACCACACCTTACCCCACCCCCTGCCCTCCCTGTGTTTGTCCTTGGTGTTGATTTGTCTGTTGCACCTCAGTTCATTTCCGGTACAGCCTACGTGGGGCTGTAACGTCTGACAGAGTTGCTGTTTAGCTTGCCCAGATCAGTTTTCTCTGACCCTTTCTGATGGCCTCCGAATGCATCCCTGCCAAAGATGCTGGCACAGCCCAGCTCTGCTTGCCGAGGCCAGCCAGAGCAGCCTGGCTGCAGCCCTTCCTCCTTAAGTGCTGGTTTTTGAAATGATATCAACTCTTCTAATTTGTGAAAACTCTGCATCAATTAAGTTACTCCTTGTTTTCTGCAAGCCAAGCCCAGTGAGGTAGCTGCCCTGCAATGGAATGAATGAGCCACCTGCTGTGACTGCAGGCACACTGCTCCGGAGGCAAGGGGTGACCCCTAAGGGAATGTCCACTCTCCACTCCCTGCGTCCAGAGTGACCCCTCCACCATCGTGACTCGACAGAGACAGCAGCCATCCAGCAAGGCCCTGAGGTTCTGCTGAACATCCAGGAGAAAGGCCTCCCCAGAGACTCCGTTTCAAAGGATCTCACGCACCACTCCCCTTCCTCCCCACCCTAAGCCGGGTCGGCGTGATGACGCGGTGGGATGGCTGAAATCCGAGCAAGGCCTCTGCGGACAGCCCAGCGTTAGATCAGTGTTAGATCATTCCCTACATGGGGAATGAGTGGAAAATTCCTCGCTGGTGCCAAGCACACGAGCCCCTGCTCTCACTCCAATCGGCTAAAAATAGAACTCAGCAAGGCATCCGACCTCTCCTAGTGATACAGTGCAGAAATCCGCAAGTCGAAGAACGCCATTCCTCTAAAGTGACTATTTACTCTAGGGCAGGCTGGGCTGGAAACGGACCCTTCGAGAACATCCACCTCAGACCCACACCAGCAGCTGTCTTCTTAGCCGCCTCTTTTATCTGATCGCCTACCTCCCCGTTGCGCTCCGAGTCCTCTAGTCTCTTTAGCGCGGGACTCAGCACCCGCAGGTGGAGTCCGAGGTGAGTTCTCCCCGCGGATCACCCAAATCCACCCCTCCTGCCCCAACACGCCCCTGCAGGCCTGCTCCGGGGAAGCCCACGCCTCTTCTTAGACACGGCGCTGCCCACTCTTGGGAAAGGCTGCCTTTCCTCTTTCCTAGCGACAGAAGCCTGGCGAAGCGGGCAACCTGCTAATCATTCCATTAACTTCAAGCAACTGGACGTGCGGCCGAGCCCCGGGCAAGCCTGCCACACTCTGTTACTCCAGCACGCGCGGTCAGCGGGGGCTGTCTGCTCAGGTGGCTGGTGCTGCCCTGCGAGGATGGCGGTAACAGGAAGTGAAAACGCCCGTCCTGGTCAGCATCGCCCACGTGACCCTCCCTCGGGCATCAGCCACCCAAGCCCCTCCTCGCACTCGGAACCAACACACAGCCTGGTTATTAAGAACACTGAGTGTTGAGGGAACCAAGGTGCTTTCATTCCCCAGCTAACGCAGAAATAGGAAACTTATACAACACGTATTTACTGAGCCCCGCCAGGTAGGGTATTTCTGCCTTTGAGGAGCTTGAGAGTCTTCCAGAGTCAGTAAATGAATAAGCAATTACAAAACAACGGGATATAACTCAGCCAGGCAGGGCTGGCTTGGAGTGTCCCTGAGACCAGGGGATGAGTAAGCAGGAGCCTATGAAGGGAGCTTAGTAGGAAAAGGCCAGGAGAACCAGTGACACAAAACAGCACCTGGGGCTATTTCTGGGAACCTCGGTCACCCCATTGGACGGACCCTTCTCTTCTTCTTGCCAAGTGTCTGCCTCTGGTCTGTGACGGTCCCTGCGAGAATGCTTGATCAGCTACAATGGGTACTGATGACACTTTCATAAAATACAATGTCAATTCACTGTGGATCTCAATGTTTTTGTCAGCTACCTCCTCCCCACCTGTTTTCTCTTTTTATAGAGGGGCATTATATGCACGTAAAATTAAAAAAATATATATATGGAAGCCTAAAGACTCCCAACTAATCTCTTCTATCTTTTTAGCCTGCCCTGAAATCAGTGCAGACCAGGAAAATTCAACCCCACGAGCTGGGCCACTTTTCCCCAGGCTAAACAAAAGAACCGCAACCAGCAAAAAATCTATAGATTTCGGGCATTTGAGGAAACATCTAGATCCTTTTTATTGTGAAGGTTTGAAATCTAAGGGACATACATACACATGAAATTACAAAGAGGGATTTTTTTTTCCATTCTTCCCAGAAGCAATACCGCTTCTCACACAGCGCTCCACAAGTTCAGTTTAGGGTTTAATTCCACGTGGTAGAACCTCGTCTCAATAAGGAAGCATGTTCTTCCATATTTCAAAACGAGCCAGCCACAAGGTGACATCAACAGAACATGGTAAGTCTCCGGCATTGTTTTCATACTGCCTTTTGTGAAGACTGCGTTCATTTTCAGTATTAATATTGTGAAGACTGGCCAGATTCTTCATCATATGGCTCTGTGGAAAATTCCTTTGGGAGGGAGACTGACCTTTTATTCATTTCAGTTATGGCTTTAAGGCAGCACTGACATCAGGCTTTGACTTAATCAATAAGTATTACATCTCCCACATATAATGAACACAGACCATTGTTTTTTTGTGCCTGCTTTTCCACCCGGAAATGAAATTTAATATACACTGGTCAAAGGGACAGCACCACTCACACTTAATATTCTTAAATACATGTCAGTGTCTACTCGTGTGGAAAATGAGCAAAGCCGTATCTGGTTTTAAAGGAAATCAGACTAAACTTCAAGATGTGTCAGTCCAGCCTCTGCTGTCATGCGTGCTGGGGAATCAGTGGTTGCAAAACCTAACTTACCTAAGAGGCTGTAGTCAACGGGGGAACGTCAGACCACACCTGGATTACCAAGCCATGATTAGGAAGGACAGAGACTTATGGGCCCCAGGGAGAAAGAATGTGAATCCAAAGAAGTAAGGCTGGGAAATTCTGGATCTCAGAGCCAGCGAGGGAAAAGAAAACTCACCAGAACCATGACTTTTAATCGTTTATGTATTACTGAAGAAGTCTCTTGACCTTTCTGGATTCAACCTTCCTCTGATCACCCTCCCAAATTTATTACTGTCCCCTCACCCACGCATACCTGGGAGGGGCAGTGACGCACCTTGTCCAACTCACACCCCTGCCAAGAATTCAGCGAAAAGGTAAACAAGGTTAGCCTCTGAGATAACAGTCAACACATAAAAGGCTATGGGTAGAGACAAGCCAAGTGACCCCTAAACGGACAGGACAGCACTCAAAGCAGCAAGATGAGGTGGGGGCAGGAGGCAGGAGTGAAGAAGCAAAGCGAAGGGGGCTTGGAAGAGGCGGCCACCGCGGCAAGCACGATCGCACGGCCTCCTAGGTGATTTTGGGCTGGAGGGGTGACGGGACGTGGACACGCCAGGCGCTGAGTCACTGGATGCCTACGTAATGCAACTCGCTGGCTCAGACTGCATCCTCATCAAAGCTTCTTATGACCATGGACTGACTCTAAAAAGACCTCACATCTTTATCAGGCTTGTAATCACCCGTCTGCCTGTCAGTTTTAATTCTTCCTGTTAGAAAGACCAGTCAGCAGTCTAGTTATACATCTAGTTGAATTCTCTGAGTAGCTCAGCCTTCCTAGGAACGGCCACCTCCGGGAGGTTTCTGTCTGTGCAGAGCGGCTGGCCTGAGCCCGGACCACGCTGAGTCCACCAGTGAACGGACTCCTGGGGACCCGACTGGTGTCCCAGAGGCCCTTCCTGGGCCATACCTTTCCTTTGAAAAAACCTGGAGAATGAGTCTTTCTGTAGAATGCCTCTCTGCTCCAATCCCAAGAGGGACCGCCCTCCCTTATTAACTCCAGTTAAAACACCTGGGTCTGGCTCTCAGCTTGGAAAACACTTTCCCACACTCCCTACATGCTCGTGTTTCCCAGTGTTAACTCTCACCTTTCACCAGAGTGGCCTGAAATATCTTTACCCCTGTGCTCTTTGCTTAGTTACAGTCCTTCTCCTCACTCGTTTCTCAAAACTCTACCCCGTTCCTCAACGTGCAAGTCATGACCCACCTTTTCCAAGAAACCTTGCCTTTGATTCCAGCACCGACTGATTGCTCCTTTGACTGGATTCCAGAAACAGGTGCGGTCGGCACCGCGTAACTTTCACTTAATTACACTCCAGGCTGGACTACTGTTTGAATCGCTCTGCATGTGTCACTGCTGCCTAACCCACTTGCAATTTTTCTGGAAAAGGAGGACGTACAGCCAAACAAATAACTGGTAAACTCGATGGGGCAGGTTGTGCCTTTTGAGAATTCTTCAAGAGTCCCCATAGTAACTGGGCACATAGTAAATGAGCAGTGAATACTGTCAATGAACAGGTGTCTTTAAAGTTAAAATACTGAAGCACAATCAACTCTTAAAAACCATTTGTTCATTTAATAATTTTTTAAATTCATTTTCTACTCTGGGTTTCTACTCCATTGCTCCCCGCAATAAATTCATGCTAAAGCCGTGTCTTACGATTTCCATTTCGTAGCCTCTCTCTGAAACTGATGACCTAAGAAGTATCTTCAAATGTGCCCCTGCTCTTTTCAGAACATCTTTAGTTGCACTGTGATCAAACTGTTAAAAATTTTTTACTTCACAAAACAACATTTTCTGTTCTGTACCTACACAAAGCTCTGGGGGGATGTTTCTTTTATTCTTTCTTTGTTTACTATAATGGGCTAAAGTCATCAGCAACAACTCCACTGACCATTTTATCAGGTCTCTTTCAAACCATGTTGGTGCTGAGAGTGTCAGAGCTGATTAACAGACTGAAGGACTTGACTGGGGGATTTAAAGGAGTGCTGACTTCCAGGGTTTGAGATTGGAACGGAATCCCATATTAGTCCTCGTGTACAATGCATGGCCCAGTAGGTAACTACAGAATAAACAAATGATTTTGGCACGCTGCCTGTGAAGGTATCCTGAAAGGTGGGCAACTAAATAAAACAATGATTTTTTTTAATTAGAAAAAGGAAAGCCCCTTAACTCCTAAAATGAGCACCTCTGAACACACATCTACAAAACCTCCAACAGGAATACCATTCTAAAATAGAGCAAAGAAACATCAAGAACTGTGGGTCTAACGTAGTGAGAAAGTTGACAAGTGCAGGGTAAGTTTTTAAGCTTTCACCAGGAAAGAAAAATTTATATTAAGTTTCAAAGTTTCAAAGCTAAAACATTTGAAACACAAATATGCTGCCAAAGAGATGAAATAATATTTAATTATTTTCCTAAAATCTCCAGCTTAAAGAAGGAATGGGGATCATTTTTTCAAGAACTTGACTTAAAACAAAAAAGGAGGATGGATTCACTTTAAAATACATTTTCTCAAAAAAGGCCTTTATATTACAGTTTCTATTTCTAAAACTTTTGTACCAGAGCTTAGAATTATGAGTACTGTACTGCTGTTGTACATGTAATAAGTCCTTCCCTTTTCTAATAACTATTGTTAACAAGCCTCCTTCAATACCTTTTGGTGACCATCTCTCCTGGAAAAGGGCTTACTCACTTCAATGTTGGATTTGCAGATAAATTGAGTGCAAATGTTTTATATTGCTATTTGTTAAAAGCACAGAAATGCGTGTATAAACATTTTAGTTTTTATTCACGGAAGCAAAGGTAATCTCACTGTGACAATTATTTCTATGGGAAGAGAAGGACCAGGTGACTTCTAAGATACCAGTTTAATTTTCCTAGGTGGTAGCTAACTCTACTTTAGGTCAAAGTTCATAAACAGAACTGGTAACTAACACATTCCCAAGTGACCTCCTTGTAATGAGTTTTATATTAAGTCATTTATTTCCTTTCACCTGGTCCCAGACTATACCTCAAGCCATCTAGCTGACCCCCATGGGTAGAAAGGAGGCAATTTCAACCCCTTGTTAAATTCCATTTCACGCATCTTAGATAAATCCAAGTGCGTGTGATAATAAAATCTATCACAGAGACATGATTTCTTGCCAACTCATTCCTAGTTCTGAAATTAAAAGCGTACCCTAGTCCCCCTGCAAGCGCACAGGCAAATGTCAGCAGCAAAAAGGCTCTCTGCTGGAATTGTCATACAAGTCTTGCTCACATTGTGTTCTCTGCCCCCTGGCTGTGAGTCTTCCTTGCAGTGGAAGCTGGAACACACCCTCAGACTCTCTGGCTCCTTAAGTTTTCACCTCTGCGTTATTCACCCCTGCGTGACGCGAACACATACGGAGAGAATAACGGGACTGGTGCATGCTTCTCTGACCTCAGGAACAGAAATGACAAGGAGGGACGCTGCGTGTCAGGAAGAGTGGCAAACTTTCAGAGTTAGCAGTTGGCCAAGCACGTCTAGCTAATCTAAATTCCCCCACTGGAATGTCTTAGGTTTCACAGGCACATCAAAATGAAGTAAGAATACTCCAAAGATTTCTTGGCAGTTGGGATTTCAAGAGCCCTACTGTTTCCAGAGAATGCAACAGTTACGCGGGAGACCACAGGGAGACAATTATGTAAGGCACTGCAGAGTCTGAGCCCCGGTGTCCCTGCGAACACCGCTCACAACTCAGCACACTGGAACCAGTCAGGTAGCCTCCTGCTCGCCCACGAGACAAGGGCACACACATGCTGGGGACAGGGACAGAGGCGGCTGGCTCTGGCCTCTCTGCCCTTTGGAAGGAGGAGGGGAGGAAGAGAGAGAGGGAAGGCAGAGTACCGTCTTGTCCAGGCACTGAAGGCAGTTGTAAGGCTTGCAGCAGCAGTGGCCCATCCCGGCAGGCTGGCTGGCAAGGGGACCTCCTTCATTCAGCGTGTCAGCGGGCAATTCCTAAGGCGAGGAAACGGCTCAAGCGAGAGGGGCGCGCCGCTGGGAGCTGTCACAACTTCCATGTGGTCCCCTCGGCTACCTTATTTCTCCTAATAACTTCAGGAATCCAGGAGCCAGAAGAACGAGAGGAGGAGGAGCAGCGCAGGGCGGCCGCGTTCGGCTCCTGCTGCAGGGAGGGGGGAGGGCAGGAGCCAGGAAGGGAGGGGACAGGCGGAGGGAGGGTCACTTTGCCACTGGAATCCTCAGAGTGAGGCAAATCAATAGTCGCATAACAATCGAGCATTTACCGATGCCACCTCCCGGAGGGGACAGCCGGCGCGCCGCTCCCAGCCCTCCCCCGCGTGCGGATGCGCCCCTGCGCGACGCAGACACGCCTGCAGAGGACGCAGGAAACACAAAAGAGCTGCTTTTCCAGGGATGCTCCGGGCGGAGGGCTAGGGAGAGGTCTGGGAGAGGCGCGACTCTGCTCAAATACTGGCTTTCTATTTCCCCGAGAAGTGAAAATACGTATAAACGTGTTAAATATAGCCTTTCCTGCATGTAACCCGCCTCTCGGGGCATCTTGCCTGGGGGGACCACCAATTGCTCATTTTCAAATTGATGTGCCAGGAACACTTCTGGCCTCATTTATGGAAATCTCTATATTTGAACTATAATTGTGAAATCACTTGTCTCAGCTGACATACACAAACCATTCAAGTGGTTTAAGTAATTAAAACTGGGGTGTGGGGCAGATGTATCTCCTGGGCATATTAGCATAACAGTCTTAGAGGACTTGATCTTTCTGGATAATTTGTAATTTTTTGAACAGTTGAAAATCAAAAAGGGAAGGGAGTGGTGGGGGCAAAGGTTTTGTTTTTGTTTTCCTTTAAATTTCAAAAGAGATGTGGTATTTAAAAACATGTTTACGTAATCCTGGAAGTGGAAGATGCAAATATTTACACGATTAACTTTATACTTCCTGTACCTCAAAGGAAAAATCCTGAAATTTACCATCTGCAGAAATGTATAATTGCATTTTTGCCCATTCTATTTGCCTAAGACTGTAAGCAGACAACAGTTAAAATCAGATAATTTTACTAAGTTTAGATTTTCCAAGCAGATTTTAATTAAATAGGACAAGTTATTTAGATTTGCTTGTAGAGAGGACAAGGATATTTGGTGATTAAATAAGAACAGACTGGAATGTGTGCTCTAAACTTGAAAGAATAAGCTCAAATCTTTCTTTAGCTCTAACAGGCACACTGGCATAATTCTTTAGGTTGTGCCTATCAAAAATTTAAATGTATATACACTTTGAACCAAGAGATCTACTTCTAACCTACAAAAACACTCATATATACAAGGATACATGCATAAGGATATTCCATTTAGCACTGTCTGTAACAGCACAAAAATGGAAATACTAGACAGCCAACATCTTTCCACTGTATGGAATGGTGAAATATTGCTGAGTCAGAAAACAGATTTTTACAAAATACAGAGCGAAACTATACGCACATACACATTTGTATAGGTCTCCAATAAAGCTTTTGGAAAAAAACACAGTTCATACAACAGGAGCTGACCCTTGAGGAATAGGAACTAGGGGAGAGGGAATGAATCTGCACTGTTTACCATCTTGCCAGCCTGTGTTACAAGTGTTTCAGGGGGAGGGCAGTGACCCCGGCCTGAGCTCTATGACAGCGCTGCCTCCTTCTCATACAGTCTTGCCCTTCTAGGCAGGGAGCCTGAGCAGGCCTCAGAGAGTGAGAAGCTCCCAGGACCTTGGGCTTAAACCTGGCTGAGGGCTGTTCCTGAGACTTTTGACACCTTGGGAGAAAACCTTTATACTGCAAGAAGCCATGCCTCGGTCCACCCACGTGCACAGCAGCGCTGATCACAACAGCAGAGGTGGAAGCAAGCCCAGTGGCCACTGACGGATGGATAAACAAAGTGTGGCCCGCCCGTACAAAAGAGCATTCATTACTCTGCCTTAAAAAGGAAGGCAATGCTGTCACCTGCTACATCGGAGGAACCCTGAGGATACTATGCTACGTGAAATAAGCCGATCACAAAAAGACAAGTACTGTATGATTCCACTTACATGAGATACCTAGAGTTGTCGAAGTCATAGAGACAGGAAGTAGAACAGTGTTGCCAGGGGCTGGGGGAAGGCAGGAATGGGGAGCTGTTTCACGGGGACAAAGTTTCAGTTTTGCAAGATGGAAAGAGTTCTAGAGACTGGTGGCATCGTCACGTGACTGCACTGAATGCTACTGAACTGTACACTTAAATGGCTAAAATGGTCGATTTTATGTCATGTGCATTTTACCACAATTAAAAATTAAAAAGTGGTGGCTTGCATTCCCCTGCGGGTAGACAGTCCTTGCACAATAAATGTCTGATCAGGTGAAGACAGAGAAAAGCCCGTGTTGCGGGTGGGAGTGGGAAGGTCCCAGAAGCTCATGTCTCTCTCCCTACAGCCATGTGCAGAAGGCTTTCTTTGGGCAGAACTGTTTTTCTGCACCTTTTGGAACTGTGTCCTCCTACATTAGGATTTAGATTGCGCTGTCACAGAAAATTACTGCTCATTCTTGTGTGAGGTCTGAGCGTCCCCACTGCCCACAGGAGACGAGGGTGAGATGGGGAGGCTACCCAAAGAAAGAGGAGATTCAAACATATTTATGCAATTGCCCACATTTTCAAAACTTGGAACAAGAGCCCCTACTGTAGTGGTTTTTATTTTTCAAGGTACATTTACACACCAATGTACAAACAGCTTTACACTGTCATAGTGGAAACCATGTGCATAAGTCAGTGTTCAAATATTCCATTTCATTATTCCTGCTTCTCTGTCTTCCTTGAACTTGGAGTTCCTTACCCAGCCCCCTGCCCCCGAACACCCCTGCCAGACCCAAGGCTCCCTCTGCTCAAACCTGCCTGCCCAGTCCTGTCAGCACCACCTCCCCTCCTCTCCCGGATCCTCCATGGGAGTGAATCTGCTCCCTCTCTGCGATTGCATGTCATTCTGTGTACGTGTTACTGCTGATGACATTCTGCTTCATGTAATAATAATCGTTTACATCTGTCTTCTCCAAAATATCATGCCCCCTTGCTGTGCCTTGCTCACGTTCACACCCGCTGCACGAGCAATCTGCCTCGAGAGCAGGTCTCCATGACCATCTCCTGAAGTGACATGGGAGGGGACCTTGTTGGAGTTAAACTCGGGGATGGTGGCTTCTTGGCAGAAGCACTTCGGTGTCTCAAGCAGTTTGTCAGCCATGGGACCATTTGCAAGAGGTTAACGAGATAAAAACTATATCTCTGTCTCACTGTTTATTTCAAAGAAAACCATGAAATACGACCCTGCAAGAGCCCCTTACAGATTGCCAAGGCAACCATCTGTTTATTTTGGTTCCACTGACCATTCCCCTCCTTTTTCCATGCATCTGAAATACGAGCTGTGGTTCTTGCACTGGATTTTAGCAAAGGGGATCGCCAGGAAAACATGTGTAGCTTTTACCAAACACAATCCATCTAGAGATTTTAATGAGGGGAGAACGGGCTGGAACGGGAAAATACCAAACAGAAATGTTTAAACTGGAAGTAAATTGGTGGTTTTGATCATCTGCATACAGACAACAGATGCCCTGAAACACCTTTGATGTAATAAACAGGATTTAGAATATTAAGGGAATTTTAAAAAGAAACAAATAACGCATACTATTCTGTTCTGAGATACTTTCAAAAGAGAGCTACGAAGATGCCACCTTTCTGTCATATCCATGTAGGAAGGTGCTGCTGTTGTATAATGATCTTTCCTGTTTGTAGTCTATCAGTCTTTGATGGTACCTTTATGTTTTTCTCCTTTTAAGCCAGTCACTAGGATGGTTGCAGGAGAGGCATCCTCCTTAGGTTTCTGCATTGCAGTCAGAAGAGCTGACTACTCTCTAAGACAACTGAAATTCCAAATGATCTTTACTACCTGAGTAAAGAGGCTGGACAAGATTGGAGAACTGACAGAATCAGATACAGCGGTGGGAAAACTGCTGGCAAAACTGCAAAGAGCATCTGTTTATTGGACACATATTAGATGAGAAGGGGGTCACCATGGACCGTAAGCTGAATGTCAGTCAACAACGCGACTGGCCGTTATAAAGGGTTTGGACAGTAGAATGGCGTCTGCGATCGACCTAGGCATCCATCCCAGCTCCCCAGCCCTCCTTGCTGAGCTGTGAAGATTGCTACACCGTGATGAAGCAGTGGCCTCCCCGAGAACAGCCCTCCTGGGAGCACTGCTGCATGGGAGTGAGGTGCCACTGATCTCGGCACAGGGCTTCTCACCTGTGGGAAGACGAGTCCCCAGCCCCTCCACCGGGTTCAGGTTCTCCCAGAAACCTCTGCTCCTCCTTCGCAGCATTTCTTACCACGGCAATTAAATAGTTATCTGATCTGCCTGCCTGTCTTCCTATATGAGGCCCCCAGCTCCGGGAGAGCGGCGACCATGTCTTACTGTAAGGACACGACTGCATCCTTATCATGTGGCGCAGCATCAGGCACACAGTAGGCACCAGTGAATGCTGAATAATACATTCAAGATTGAGCAGACTCACCCTGGTTAAAGTTGAAGCAGAGAGACATGCTGACTGGCAACAACACAGCCGCTGCTCTAACATCTGGAGGGTGTTTGTTCAAAACCCCTGAAGAACAGTGATCCTCAGACCCAACTGCATAGACACTGCCAAGCAAAGATGGAGAAACTGCTCCAACATCCACCGGGACTTTTCTTTTGATTTGGAGCTCTGAAGAAGCACAGACATTAAGGTGCCACTTCCCACTGTCATCTTTACGATACAAGCGTGGGAGAAAGCTGACTCACAACCACCCTGCCATTTGCCTCTTTCTCTTTTTCCCACTCATGATAAGAACCTGGCCATTTATCTGGGTGGGTCTGTCACTAGACGCTGTCAGTGATGCTCACTGTAGATTGCCATGTGGCCTCAAACCAACAATTCCATAGCCTTTACTCTACATCACGTGCCCGGATTCCCAAATATGCTACCACTTCAGGGAAGGACATGGCAGATGTCCCACAACTAGTGATTATACCTGCTGTTTGCAAAGTGTCTGTACTGGTGGTGAAGGTGACCACAGTTCTTTGAAAATAATGTAATTAACTATAAACCTACATGTAATCCTGTCAGCGCTGCCTTAAAAACAGACCAAGAATCTGACCACCTCTTACACCTCTGCTCTAAGCATCTTGGTCCAGGCTGCCATCATACTGCCCTTGGATTATGGCAACAGCGATTTGATGCTCCCGTGTCTACCCTTGTCCCTACCTCCAGTCTGTTCTCAACAAATCAGAGTAGGAGAAATTTTATAAATAAAA